CCCTAACCCTCTTCTGCTGACCTGGGAGGTGTCATCCTGGAGCCACAGCAGCCCCCAGGCAGGTCACATAGCCACAGGCGGCCCACAGATGCCCATGGCTTGGGCTGTGCATCCTGCAAACGTTTGATTAAACTGCTAAAGCCACACAAGGGGACGGGTACAGAGGAGAGGGGGGAGGGCAGCACGCGGGGGGGGGGGTCTAACAGGGACAGTGTTCACATGCTGCCCCACCCTTCCTTGTCCCTTCCTAATCTTCTGATAAAGGGGTTGGAGCAAGTCACATACAAGCCGCCTCCCACATACACAGAGCACCCCGGGGAGGAGAGCTGTGGCTTGAGTCCCCCCCCCCACCCCGGTGAGATGCGTGGACGGACAGGGTGACATCACCTTACACTGTCAGACAGCTAACAAGGATCTCAGCCCCGGTTAGCCCAACCAGGAAAACGTGCCATGGGGTGCACATGGGGGACAGAGGACAGCTTCTGGAAGTCACTCCTCTCCTTCTAGCACGTGGGTCTAAGTAACGGAACTCGGGCTGTCAGGCCGGGCCGCAGGCACCTGCCAAGCCATTTTCTTTTATCAGGTCTGTCATTTGGGTCATCTCTACAGGGACAGAGATTAAGGAATTTATGAACAAATAGTCCCCGGCCACCTCGGGGCATCCCGCCCCCTCCGGCCCCAGGCTCTTCCCTTCCTGAAGTCTCAGTCAGGGGAGCCCATCCGCTCCCCTACCTCACCCAGCTGAGCCCACCTTCCCCCCCTAGCCCCACACCCAGGGCCCCATGAGCCTCCACAGATGCCAATGCATCGGCTCTGCCCCGACAAATGACCGCCAACAAGACCCGCTTCCTGTCACACATCTAAAGAGGAAGCAGGGAGTCCTGAGCTCACACAGTTATCGGAGAAGACCACACAGGCGGCTGCCTGAGGGGCACTCCCTAACCTCGCTGGGCAGGGGAACCCAGCCAGCTTTTCCCCCTCCAAGACCCTAGGGGCCCAGGAGTCTGGACGCTGACAGCTTGCTGGCTTCCCTAGCCCCCTGACAGGGGTGGGGGGGAGCCACCTGCCACCTGGACAGGGTTATATGACACAGTCCCGAGAGCGCCCCGTGTGTCCTCCAGAATTCTTGAACCGAGATCCAACAGTCATGCTAGGACTGCAGGTGTGCGCCACCGTGCCCGCCCACTGACGCTGAGGCTGGAGCGCGAGCTTCCTACCTGCAAGGTGGGCGGTCTACCAAAGGAGCCACACGCCAGCCACAGAGACCCCAGCTAAGGTCTGCTTCCCACGCTAAAACCCGGGTGTCCCACACTTCACACTAGCGTGAGCACACCCCACTCAACACAGTTTAAACAACAATCCACCTAGTGCCTTTTGAAGAAAAGGAATGGCCCATAGCCTCCGCAAGCTCACGTTGGGCTTTCAAAGTCACGGACCAGAAGAGGGATGTGAACTTTGGGTGCAGAATGGCAGGCTTCCTTTGGATGTGATATCCAGCCCACTCCCTTTCTGGAACTTTCCATGGCCCAGCCCTACATGAATGGTGAGAAAGCCTCACTGAGAGCTTTCTCCGTGATCCCGGAAGAGTGGCAGAGCCTCTCCCCAGGCCAGAGGCCTCCTCTGTCTTTCTCTTGATCTCGGCCGCTATCACATCTGCTCTTATTTCTGAGGCCAGCTTCTCACTTGGCCTCTCGGCCTCAGGCAGCTGCATTCAGTGGTGGTGTGGTCCTCTGGCCAAAATCAGTCAGAATTGTCAGGGGGGCAGGACTTGGGCTCCAGTGAGCAGGCAAGAGGGTCAGAGCCAGGAGAGTGGGGCGCTATGAGGAGAGAGAGCAGGCGGGAAGCCTGGGTACCAGAACCAGGAGAGTAGGGGCGCTATGAGGAGAGAGAGCAGGCGGGAAGCCTGGGTACCAGAGCCAGGAGAGTGGGGCGCTATGAGGAGAGAGAGCAGGCGGGAAGCCTGGGTACCAGAGCCAGGAGAGTGGGGCGCTATGAGGAGAGAGAGCAGGCGGGAAGCCTGGGTACCAGAGCCAGGAGAGTGGGGCGCTATGAGGAGAGAGAGCAGGCGGGAAGCCTGGGTACCAGAGCCAGGAGAGTGGGGCGCTATGAGGAGAGAGAGCAGGCGGGAAGCCTGGGTACCAGCTTTCTCTGGGAGTGGGAACTCAGGCGGAGCCATTCACGAACATGTGGGTGGCAAGCAAGGCCCTGAAGCGGCTAGAACTCTGTCCTTAGAGAGCGGCGGCCTTAAGCAGGGTTTGAGACCCCACCCTGGTGAAAATGCCATGGGGTCTCGGGCATGGTAAATGTTTCCGAAATGTCCATCATCGTGTTAACTGTAAAATCCGGCTGTTGGGTTTCTGTCAGGCTCAGAACCTCGCCTGGGACACAGCAGGTGCTCAATAAGCGCGCGTTAAAGGGCCGGTGCGTGACCAGAGCTCACGTGTCAGAACGCACAGAGCCCTCTGAAGGGGCCTCCTTTCCCCCTTCTTCCTCTCAGCTCCTGCTCCACAAGGACAGTGAGGATCCGAGTCCTCTGTGTCTCTTTCACGCCCCCACCCCAGCCCCTCACCCCCACACCACGGCCTGGCCCCTGCCTGCCCTGGCCCCTCATGCTCCAGTTACACCACAGCCTCTTTCTGTTCCTCTCAAGTCCCTTTCCCGGGCTCCTGGGCACAAGCAGTGCCCGACCCGCAGTGTCCTCAGCCACAGCCCCATCCCCAGAGAACTCCACTGGCCTCTGCCCCACCTGAAATTCATTCCTATTTTACACACATCTCCCCCTCACAAAAGAGGCACACCACTCCTTTCTCTTCCTGTGTTCAGCAGCAAAACCAAGACGGTGTGGATGCAGGGTTAGTGCCACAAGCCCTTGAGCCGTGAATCCACTGGCCTTTGCTTCCCATCGGGCATCAGGCATTCTGGAGTCAACCCTCCTGTCCCCCTCTGCGATGCCTGGGAGCCACCTCTGACTGTCCCTTCCTCATCTCCCTTCAGGGAGTTTCTCTGTCAGGACCCACTCTCCCAGCAACCATCAGGCCTTGGTCCTATCCCCTCACAGCTAAGCCTTGTCAATAATAACAGAAGACTTGGAAAAAGAAAAAAGAAGTTGCCTTAGGTGTGTTGAAACAGCTGGTAACCGAGCAGCCCCCCGGCCACAGAAATTCAAGACGGAAGGTCACAAGACCAAAGACTGTAAGAGATGACAGCATACAGCAAGCAGACTGTGGTCCTCAGGGCAGGGATGCCCCTGAGGCAGGCTAGTACCTGTCTGCTTCCCCTCCAGGCCTGGGGCTGGAAATCAAACAGTGTGGAGCCCCCCCCCCCCAGACTTCAGCCTCCCTGGCTGCTGCAGCTGGATCCACAGGAGATACATAGGAGAGAAAGCTGTCTCTCAGGAGACTCAAGGCCTTGGCCAAGAGCTGGGCAGGCACAGATGGTGACCGTGCTGGGGACAGCTGGGGACTCAAGAAGCTGTGAGGAGAGAGCAGCACTGGCGGCTCAGCTCCCCAGCTCATCAGGGCGTAGTGACCCGTCAATCATCCAGAGGTCAGGCCTTGGAGTCAGGGCATCTTCGGTGCTCCCCTGCCCAAAGCCAGTGCTCACCTAGACCCACCCAGAGCAGATGGCCCAGGGTGGGCCCCGGGCATTGAGAAACAACACAGGCTCCCCACAGACGATGCCCCCTAACCAGCCAGCTCTGCGATCATGACGCGGGCTCAGCCAGTGCTTGGGCTGACCACCTATAGAGGGAAAGGTTAAAGCCCAGTATGCACCAGGCTGCATGTCGGCGCCATGGCAGAGCAGAAGTAACAAGACACAAAGAAATGGGGAGGTGAGGTCAGGGTACAGGGACAGGAAGAAACTGGCTCGGGGACTGCCAGGTCAGAGCACAGGCTGTGCGGGGAGGTTTTCCCCCCTTTCTTTTGGCACATAATATATTGATTGTACAGAACAATGGCTTCATTATGGCTTTGTCATGCCTGTGTATCGAGTGCTTTGATCACATTTAGGAGTCCTGAACTAGGGGAACACACCCATTGGACTTCAGGAGAATTGTAGCATTTGGGGTTCTGTTCATCTGGTCTCTACTCCTGTTTTATACTTCTAAGAAAAGCCTTTTTTGTTGTTTTTGATGTTTTAATACAGGGTAGCCTTGGCTGACCTGGAACTCAGAGATCCACCTGCCTCTGCCTCCTGAACCACCGAGCCTGGCAAAAAATCTGCATTTTTAAGAATCCCCGCCTCCAAGGGTGCTTATGAACACAATGCCCAGGTCCCTACAGTTACAATAACTTAAATGTACGGATGATTCCCATGAACTGAACTGTGTGGGTTCCCCAGTCAGAACCAGACACCTGTGGTACTTCTGTGTCAACCGGATCATGTAATTTGAACGATGTTTCAATTCAACTATCTTGGAGGGGAGAAAAATCACCCTTCTGCCCTTGAACAAGTCTCTAGTTCACCTCCAAGACATAGCTGTAAAGGACGCTGATCGGGAAAAAGCAAGCAGAAACGTTCCCAGCTCTAACATCTCTGCCGAGTCCTAGCAATCTCTCCATCATAAAGAAAAGGAAGGACCGCCTTCCACACGACACCATGTCCCCTTACCCCGGAAGGACCGCCTTCCACACGACACCGTGGTCCCTTACCCCGGAAGGACCGCCTTCCACACGACACCGTGGTCCCTTACCCCGGAAGGACCACCTTCCACACGACACCGTGTCCCCTTACCCCGGAAGGACCGCCTTCCACACGACACCGTGGTCCCTTACCCCGGAAGGACCACCTTCCACACGACACCGTGTCCCCTTACCCCGCTCTGGAGACTCCCCCCAGACTGCAATTCTCCAGGAAGCTCTTGACACAGTGTCTCAGGTTTCTCTCCTTCCAAGGAGTAAGGAGATAAGATGTCCTTGGCCTCACAGGCTGCCGCAAGGCAGAGAGAATCGCCTAGTGACGAGCGTAAGGCACAGAAATAAGAGACTTTGGGTCCATACCTGCACCACAGGGTGGCCTCCTGTTGGGGCCTTGACCGCACCACGGCTGCCCTCCGTCTCATAGTGGGCCCGGTGATGGGGCTTGGGCTGGACCTCGATCCGCAGCTCATAGGAGCCTGACTGATTGGAGAGTGGCCACTCTAGTGGAGGGAGGGATGCAGTCACGGGGATGCTGTGGGAAGAAAAGACCCGGTCATGATGACGTAAAACCAAATCAGTCGGTCTGTACACTAACTGTAAATGGCCCCTTTTCTGGAAACTGTGCCCAGGGATGGAGGAATAAAATGCTAAGTGCTGAGGGCTACAAACTGCTCAGACACAATGGGGGAGTTCTTCACAAGGCAGAGGGTCTTCCCTTGCTTTCATTTTCATCCTGATAAGACAGTGTGGCTGGCTTCATGGGCAATGAAGCTAATTTCATTATGTGTTGGTTCCTGCATGTTTCCAATGACTGTTATGGCTTCTCCTCTAGGAATTGTGAAGAACACAGCATCAGCTTCTCAAAGCATCCCTCTGCAGAACACTTAACAGTTCCTTTTCCAGAGGGCAAATGTGAGAGCAGGAGCATGTCAGTGGCAACCTGGAGCATGTCACTACTTCAGTACAGACTTAAGTACGTCATCTCTCTTAGGTACAGTCTGCTACAGTCATATAGCAGAGACCAGGTGATGAGTGAGAGAGTGTCTATATGTGATTCTCTTGGTTAGCATTTGCGAGTGAGTTCAGGTCCACTCACAATTCCTAACTGATGGGCCACTGAGCGGTGGGTCCTAGAAGCACAGAGAGGAATCTAGCTTGAGTGTGAGTGAACCAAACCATACGACCCCAATGAAAAGTGCAAAGGGACAATCAATATCATGACTAGGGTTCCATACCAAAGTTCAAGTCCCAGTCCTAACACCTACTCCCCTGTGACTTTGAGCAGATACCTATAACTCCCTAGGCCTCAGTTTCCTCGATTGTGAAGTGGGCATACTGAAATCCTATGGAATCTTAGCATCAGAGTAGTCAATGACCATTAGCACTAATGGTTTTCCTTGGAAATGCACACACTTGTATAGGCATACACACATACGCACACTATACACATACATATACATGCACGTATACACACACATACATATACACACATGAATATACACATGTGTACATGCACACACCACATACATTTACAGGGACATAATATACACATACCACACACATTCTTATACACACAGGTACATACTCACACACACACACACCACACACATGTAAATGGATATGTATACAGCACACACATACATGGACACATACCACACAGACACATACTACACATATACATGTACATACATGTACATACACATATACCACCACACATGTATGTAAATGGACATACATATACCACACACAAACATACATACCACATGGACATGGACACACTATACACACCACAAACATAGATACACAACACATGTACATGTGCATACACTAATACACATACATACATACATATGTGCCATACATACACACAACACATATATGCACATACACTTACACATACATAGACACACACACACACACCATTTTCTATGGATCCTCTGATTTGGCTGTGGTGTCAGGTGTGGAGACCACATTCTGAGGGCATGTTTTAAGTTTCATTTTCCTGGAGTCTCAACACTACCCAATATATACAACAGCTACTCGACATGGCTTAGAATTATGTCATTAAAGAGTCAGCCGAGGTCTTGAAAATCTGCCCAGAACCGTCCTTCTGTTCCTCAGAAAACATAAAACATTGCCTATATCACAGGTGAGACAGAGGCTGGGCTCCAACTCTCGCACACTCTCATCTCCACACTGCCCTGTCTTACCAACTTATGCCAAATGAGCCTGAGGAAAGTCTCACCATGGGGGGACTGAGAGCAGCTCTAACACTGGGAAAGATCTCAGAAAACATTTAGTGGGTAGATGGGATAGAAGGTGGATGGGTGGGTGGGTGGACAGACGGATGGATGGACGGACAGACAGGTGGGTGGGTGGATGGATGGATGGAGAGATGGGCGGGTGGGTGGGTGGGTGGATGGCTGAGTGTATGGGTGGATAGAGGGATGGGAGGATGGATGGATGGATGGATGGGTGGGTGGGTGGGTGGGTGGATGGATGGAGAGATGGGTGGATGGAGGGATGGGTGGATGGAGGGATGGGTGGATGGGTGGATGGATGGGTGGATGGATGGGTGGATGGATGGATGGATGGGTGGATGGATGGATGGATGGATGGGTGGATGGATGGATGGGTGGATGGATGGATGGGTGGATGGATGAATAGGTGGGAGGATGTGCAGACGAGAAGTTTCATCTCAAAGACTGACACAAAGGTTCTCTGAGGTGCACATGCGTGGGTCCCTATGACACGTCCTGATTTGCAGAGACCATCCATCCATCAAGCATATTATTTCCCACTCGCCTGCTCCATTCAACCCAGTGCTTCATCAGGGAAGAGTTTCTATTTGCTAAAGCAAGCACTGTGCAGGCAGCACAGGATGACAGTGACAGCCCAGGCCAGCTGTGCTAAGCTGGCAGATAGGGCAGAGAGAAAAGGGCAGCACATGTCCCCTCTGTCACCTCCTTTTCCTCAGCATCCAAAAGAAGATTTTTTAATGCCAAATAACACCAACTGAGGTTCCCATGAGGAAGAAGCGTCCTCCTCAGACATCAGTGGTTACTGATTGTCACTCTGCCATTGGATTACTCTCCTGCACAGGCCTGTCAGCAAAGGAGTCTTTCCTGAAGGTCCCCTATGAAAACTCCAGAGTGATGGTTCATCTCAACTGGAATCGCCTGGGCGACAGGCCAGTAGGTGTGCCCAGATCATCTTGATGAGACTAATGGGAAGCCCCGCCCACTGGGAGAGGCACCGTTCCTGGGCTGGGACCCTGGACTATATAAAGAGGAAAACTCGGGTGGAACACAGGCGCTCATCTCTCTGCTCCCTGGCTGCAGATGTGACATGACCAGCCACTTCAAGCTCCGGACACTCTTGCTTTCCCCGCCATCGTTGTAATTTAAAAAGCAGCATGAAAGAGAAAGACGCCATGAGACAGAGTTCAAGTGGAGGGGCTTTTTTTTTTAAGGGAAAGGATAATAAAAGGGGAAAGGGGAGGGGGGAGACTAGCCTCCAGGGACAGGAGCCATGGGAGAGAGGAAACAGAGGCAGAGGGAGGGAGGGAGATGGGGAGAGAGGGAGGGGGGTGCTCTTAGTGGCAGCAGCTGAGGGCATATCCTGTCAGAACTCCAGTGATACGTAAAAAGGGAATAAAGTTAATATTTAGGCATTTGTACTGGCCTGCTTTTGGAGTTCTGCTCTCAGAGAGAATCATAGTTGTTTATCAATGTCTGTCACCAGCACAGCACTAGGAGAGCAGCACAGTGCCCACATTCACACAGGCAATGAGCAGCAGAGCCCGGACACACATCCAGTCCGCACACACCCCAAAGCCTCTATACCCTGTGAGCCACACTCTGCTCCGGGCCTGCCAGGCTCTTACGCTATTTGAGGACTGAGCCCTGTGCAGGGCATAGTTCTTAGGGGCTCCTCACCCCCGAACACAGCCCACGGGCAGTGAGACACTCCCCCACCGCTCCTCTTGGAATGAGGGCGCAGGTGCTCCATACTGAGGGCCACTCAGCAGAGGCAGCATGCTGTCCTGTTTGGCCGGCTCACAGCTATCTGCTCCTGTAAAGGAATTCAGCGCATAGCAAGGACTTTATAAGTACTTGCCGAGTGAAGGAGCGTGCTGTGTCCTCGGGGACAGCCATCATGCATATTGTACAATAACGCCCACAATACCTGCTGTGTCAAGAGACACCCATGTTACAGATGGGCAAACTAAAGCTTGGGAGAAGCTAACATCCTTCTCAGGCACTCATAGCCAGCAAGTGTCTAAGCCGGGATTTAATGACATCTGCGTGACTAAATGCCATGTAAATAACGAGAAAACCAGCTCTTAGAGCACACTTGGGCACACAGCTCTCACAGACCCCACTCACCTGCAGATGGGAATGGCGGGCACCAATTGCTTGGGCCAGGTGGGTGGTACCAGCAGGATGGACTCGGGAGCAGAATTCCTCCTCTCCTCCTGCTCACAAGGCCCCAGGAACTCCACAGCAGGGTAGATGTGGCGGGCCAGGCCCGCCTTGGACGGCCCGGTGGACACGGGAGTTGGGTCAGGACTGGTCTTCCATATCTTGGAGGGGATCCCGCAGGGCGAGTCGGTGGCCAGGCTGTTGAGGGCATCCATGAGAACAGCAGAGCCGGCCGTGGGGGGGTACCCAGCGGGGATGCCGTCGTCCTGGGGTGCCACGTGAGGCGAGGGCTGTGGCGAGGGGCTCCGGGAGCGCTGGGGTGAGGCTGCGGGCAGAGGGGCAACCAAGGCCTCTGCGCACGAATGCCTCCGCTTGGCACCGGGTGAGGAGGAGCGGGACGCAGGACGGGGCACGGGCGAGTGTCGGCCCAGGCAGCTGTCCTCGGCGAGGCTGGTTCGAGGTGACATTATTGGAGAGGTTCTGGGGGAATAATGAGCAGGGATGTTTTGAAACTGGGGACACAGGTCGTCGGGCCCGGCGTTATTGGGCGAGACGCAGGGCGAGGTGTAGGGGGAGAAGGTGTCAGAAATGAAGCTGGCAGAGGAGCCACTGCTAGCGGGACTCAAGCAAAGCGGCTCGCGGTAGCCCTCGAAGCCGGGCACGGGCAGGGTGAACCTCGGGCTGGCGGCCACGCCGGCCAGAGCCAGGGCCGGCTGCTCCGGGGGCAGGCCAGCGTCTCTCCCACGGAGGGCCCCCCCTGCCTGCATCAGTTCGTGGGATGGAGTGATCTCGATCCGAGGGCTCGGGCCCGAAGCCCCTGGTGGCTTGGCCGGGCTCACAAAGTTCTGGAACCCTAGCCTATCCGGCTCTCCGAACCGGCCTGGGGGCTCGCCAGAGAAACTGGCCAGGGGGTTGACTGGCTTGAGGCCATAGTCCGGGACATCATCCGGGTATGCGAGTCCGGAGGGTGAGCTGATGGCCTTATGTGCGTTCGGTTCTTCTGGAAAGAGAAGGGGGGAGGGGGTCTGTAAGCCTCTCAAGCAGAACTGGGGTGCAGAGTCACAGTCACGGGTGGGCGTGGTCTCCTGTCACTGGTTGGTCTTAATACCCCACCGTGCCAAACCCTGAGCTTGCCACAAGTAAAGTGAAGCTACTTTGTCCCAGATTCCCTCAAGAGAATCCAGAACGACAAGCATTGGCTACGCCAGTCATGTAGCTGGCTGGAGTTATGGAAGGCAAACTGGCCTAGTAGTCTCCAAGCTGAGCCCTCAAACCACCCCCTCAGAAGTGCATTTTAGGGGCTGGAGAGATAGTTCCTCCCTAAACTGCCTGCCATGCGACTATGAGAAGCCAAGTTTGATCCCCAGAGCCTACATAAAAGTCAGGCATGACAGACAGTACACTCCTGTAACGCCAGCACTGGGCAGGCAGAGATGGGGATCCCTAGAGCTCAATGGCCTGGTGGTGCAGCCAAACCAACTAGTTACAGGTTCAGGGAGAGACCCTGTCATAAAAAGTAAGGGGAGAGCATTTGAGGAAGACATCGTCATCCGGCCTCCATATGCATGTATACATATGTACGGGCACACCCGGATACACTGCACACCTGCATGAACGTGTCTATGCAGACACAGTGAAAGCCGTTAAAGCGAATTTGATATCTCCCATAGCTCACGGCACCACGGACCAAAGCTGATTGGGAAGCACTCCAGCTCACTGTCTTAGGCTCTGAGCCTCTGTCCCAACTGAGATTATTTCATGTCGATGTGGATCACAATCCCATGACTACGATTTGCTCTTTCTCCAGGGCTGCAGTTGGCCTCGTCGCTTCACATGTATGAACATGTATGATGCGGACACAGAGAGGCAACATGGACTCTAAGGTTCATGGAGTCTATGTCTGAGGTGTCCACACCCAAGTGTGAGAGGCTTTCACAGCCAGGGTTCCCCGCTCCTTCATGGGCCTTTATGGATGTGGCCTGGGAGGGGACAAGGATCCCCAAAGACACGGAATTCGCAGATTCTGAACCCTTCGGAGGAGCCCTGGCCCCCAAAAGTCAGGATCATGGCTACAGGGCCCCCTAGCTGCTAATAGGAGGGGGACAGGTGACCTAACCACCTCTTCAATGGCAGCAGCCATCTTGGATTTCTGCTGTCCCACCTCAAGAACTCGCCACTGTGAGATTGTCACTCCAACAGATCATGCTGCTCAGTCACCACACTCTGTCCCTCGATCTCCAAGTCTGTCCCCTCACATCGCTCCCTGGGGAATTTCTGCAGAGCCACCGAGGGATGGTAGGCCACACCAACTCTTCCTCTAAGCCCCCCCTTCTCCATCAGTAACAGGCTCAGCCATGGCTCCTCAACTCTCACGCCTCCTACCCTAGCCACCAGCAAATCCTGACCTCTGACCTACTCAGACCAGCCTCAGTATTCCCTGCGCATGTCCATCTCCAGCCAAGTCCCCTTCTAGCAAGTCTCCCAAGTCCCCTCTGTCCAGTGTCCACTCCAGACACGTCCGTCAGTGCTTCCTCTGGCCCCTTATCTGGGTCCTGAGGTCATCAGGGGCCCAGTCTGTCCCTGTCACCAGCTTGTCTCACCACTCCACCTGTGCCCAATGTCCCCAAACAGCTCAGAGACAGTCCCACTGACCTCTCCTCAAGCACTTCCTGCTCAGAGTCCTTGAGAGTTGCTGCCTCTCCCTTCAAGAGCTCCGATAGTCCACATATCTGCTCTGCCAGCGCCTCCACAGACTGCCCCCCAAAAGATCGCCTCCAACCCCCTCTCCTGCCACTTCTCCTTAGCTCCCACCGCTTCTGATCCATATGTGTTTGGTGAACTGGTCCTGATAAACCACGGCCAAGCAAAACACACCCCGCGGACCCGCACTCTGTCTGCTGATAAAGCAACCGAGTTTTCGCACAGGGCCTAGGGCTTGCTTCTTCACTGAAACAGGAGAGCTGAGAGTGTTGGCAGGGTCTGCACGAACCACAAATCTTACGATATTTACTCTCCGGCCCTTATGGGAGTTTGGTAGTCCTACTCTTCGCTCTAAGCTCTACCGAGGTCGGGCCCACGTCCTCTGTGGGTTAGTATTGTTTGCCTGGTACCCGCCACTCACAGCCTCCACAGCATTTGTAAAGTGACCGAAAGAATTCATAAAACAATTATGCCCAGGGTCCTGCAAGCCAGGTATGGGGGCTCCTGCTTTGGGGAGCTAGGGTAGACACTGTGGTGATCCTGGGCCTTTCTGTCCCTTTTCTGGGCCACAATAAAGAATGTGTGCTCCAGCTTGGCTGAACTGAACTCAGAATGCGCAGATGCTGCTCCCATTCCTGATGAGTGAGTGCTCCCATTCCCGGTGAGTAAGTGCTCCCAAAGGGCTGCCCGCTGCTCTTAGCATGAGGGCTTGGGCCAGCATGGCAGGGTCTGCCTGCCCACCCCCAGCCTCTCCTCTCTTGGGGCTCAGGTGAGGTGGGGTCTGGGGGAAGCACCCACTTCCTTCTGGCCTCAGGACTTGGCAGTCGCTGGTCCCTCTGCCTCACAGCTCCATTCACTCCCCCCTGTGGGACCAAAGCTCATCCATGCCCACAGGCTCTGCCGCTGTCCCTGTTCCCACAGCCTCTCTTCCCGGGGTGCCCCTCTAAGCCTGGAGGTCTCCCAATTCTAGTGAAGCCATTGTGGCACCAGCTACTGACTCGCAATCTGCCTCTCTCCTAACCAGAGGTGCCACGAGGACTCTCCTGAGGCACACTGAGCCTCTGCCACCTGGATGGGAGCGGGAACGAGGTGGGCCCTCAGCAGAGAAGATGCCGGCATTCCTTAGTAAATGAGTACATCCCTGTAAAAGCCACCTGGGACCTGGCTGCACTCCTCTAAAAGGTCACCGCCTGACCCCGGACAGCATCTCTAGAGAGGGGTGACTGGGTAGGCAGCATCCATCAAGATCCCAAATGTGTCCCAGAGCCCTTAACCGCATCCTCAGAATCGCATCCTATGTGGACACTCACATCTCGGGGAGCGGAGGGGATAAGCGGTAGGTTAGTGTCTGCAGCTCTGGTGCTTGGGGAGGCTCTGGTTCATTCCAACAGTGACCAGAAAAAGTCCTTCTGCACCAAGAAGCAGTGACCACTGAGATGCAGCATTGAAGAAAGCGCATGATGAACACAGGGTGGGTTGTCTGAAAGGGGGGCCACGTCTGTGGGGGAATGTGCACACGTGTGTGTGTGTATGTGTGTGCATGTGCGCGCGCGCACTCCCACACTCATGCAGAGGCCAGAAGAAGACATCAGGTGTCACTCTCTACCTTATTCCCTTTGAGGCAGGGCATCTCATTGAACTTCGAACTCAGCTGGTGGCCACCAAGCCCCAGTGATACTCCTATCTTTACCAAGCAACACTGGGGTGGCAGGAGTGTGCAGCAGCGTGCCCAAGTCTTTTACAGGAGTGCTGGGTTCCAAACTCGGGTCCCTCACGCTTACCTCCTGAGCCATCTCCCCAGCTCTGCAAAAAGGAAACTGTTGATTTCTGTATTATTCAGAGAAAACAAACTTAAATTTCCCAAACATAATTAGCTTCTGTGGAGCAGGTGGCGGGAGGTGGGGGTGACATGGAACATAACGCATGACAATGAAACTCTGCTGACAGGGAGAGAAACAGCACCTAGCCCTGCTCCGCCACTAACTGGCTAGTGGTGGAAGAAAAGTCCCCACCCACTCCAGGCCCCAGGGCCTCACTTAGAACCTTGAGAAAGCACGTCACCTCCTTCGCTGCTTTGATTTTTCTAACTTGGGTCTGCAGGGCTGGAGTTCATGCGATGCCAGGGTGAAGGTGCATCTGAATGTGAGCTGGTGCTGCACACACACACACAGACACACACACAGACACACACATACAAACATACACAGACACACATACAGACACACACACACAGACACACACAGACACACACACAGACAAACACACAGACACACACACAGACAAACACACACAGATACACACAGACACACACACACAGACACACATACAAACATACACAGACACACATACAGACACACACACACAGACACACACACAGACACACACACAGACAAACACACACAGATACACACAGACACACACACAGATACACACACAAACACACACAGATATACACACAGACAAACACACACAGATACACACAGACACACACACACACACACCTTCCTGGCACACAGTGCACAACATAGATGTCTAATCTATGGGCCAATCAACATCAAATCCATTCCCCTACAAATCGACCAAACCGGGAATCCAGTCCTGCACAGAAATTCCAGTCATATTAGAACTCTCTGCTTCAAAGACATGGTTCAGGATGTTGTGAACAATTCAGAACTAGAGCCAGTGTGGACACACATGATGGGGTGTGGTAGTGCCCACAATCCCAGCACTCGGGAGACTGAGGCAGGAGAAATGCTGTGAGTTCAGAGACAGCCTGGTCTACTGAGTAGGACCTTATCTCAAGAAACCAACTCACACACACACTCACACACACACACACTCACACACACACACACACACACACACACACACACACACTGCCCAGGAGCTCCGGGAACACCAAACCCACTGAGCCTAGTATTGCAGTGTTTACACTGGTTTAATCCATCTTGGTGGCAGTTTCCGCCCCCTTCTTCTCCCCAGGTCTATAAATGTTTAACAGCAAACACGGGTGTGAAGGTAATGAATAGCCTTTGCCTTCTGTGGGATTTGACAGCAAACCTCCCCAAAGGCAAGCCATTAAAGTCTTTCTGTGAGTGGTTGGGATCCCCATCCATGTTCCTGCTGGGTCTCACTGCTCTAATGTGCCCATCGCCCAGGTGGAAGCCAGCATACCTCAGAACCACACCTTTTTGCCAATTTTCTCAGGAGGGTTTCCATAAAACTTCTTTGTGTGATCTTGGCTGTAGGTGGCACTGTCAATATCTCCTCAACTCCACTCTCTTCTTTTTAACATGGTGT